CCAGATGCACCGCCCCCTAGATTACAGATTTTTGAGACCTGGAGCAGAGGACCAGCTGAGCCACACCCACACTTTTGACCCACAGTTAAGGTATTGTTTAAAGCCACTAAGTCTGGGGTTGTTAGCTAGTAATTAAAATTGAGTTAATTGAACCCCAAAGAAATGGTTTCAGGGGACCTGAGTTATGTTCCTACAACTCATGTCCTGTGGCTTATTTATGCAAGTAATCTTAGCCCCAGGTGATCTGACACCCTTTTTATGGACTCTGAGGGCACCTGCACTCACACATGTGCACACACACATACCACACCACATCTTCACAAATACTACGTCACAGCACACTACACACACACACACACACACACACACACACACACACACACACACCTCACCACATACACACACATACATATTCACCATAACACAACTAGCACTCAAAATTCAAAATAAAAATAAATATTTTTAAAAGGCAATGCATATGCTACAGGAAACTCTGGAGTTTTTATATCAAAGGTCAAGAGGAACCAAAAAGCCATCACTATAAATGAATAAAGAATCTGATTGATACAGATTAAAAGATCTTTATTTCAGATAGGGAGTAAGGGAGAAGGGACCTGTAAGGGAGAAGCCTAGCATGTCCCTTCTCAAGGGCCATCTGACCTGGTCACACCCCATCCCAAAGCCCCCATGGATTCCCACTGCCTCTGTCACATCCTGGAGACAGTGGGGACCACAGGATTTTCTCTGTACAAAGAGACAAATTTGTTTAGATATAGAGTACTGGGAATATATGTGTGTGTGTGTGTGTGTGTGTGTGTGTGTGTGTGTGTGTATGAGTGTGAACAGGTATATGTGTGTATGGTAAAAACACAGATATTAGTGTATGTATGTACAAACAGAAAGACAGCCTACTTGCCTGGTAACTGAGTTCCACCCCCAACCCCCTGCTTGTTGTTTGTTTGTTTGTTTGTTGTTTGTTTGTTTTACAGGGCTTTGCAGTGTAGCCCAGGCTAACCAAGAGTTCCTGATTCAAGCAATACTCCTGCTTCAATTTTTAAGTGCATGTAACATTTGACTTTTTATTACATTTTAATTAAGTGTGTGTGTGTGTGTGTGTGTGTGTGTGTGTACACCTGTACTTGTATATAGAGATGAAGAAAAGTGAGATCTACCCCATTGTCCTGCATTTTCATTTGCACAAGTAGAATCTCTCTGCAAGTCAGAACAAAGAGCATTTCTGAACCACCAGTTGTGCATTGGGCTGTGAAATGGGCATACTTCAAGCCACTGTATTAGAAAATCGAAATACAAAGACTTTTTTTTAGCCCCTGAAAAACTGGAGAATAATTACATGAAATGGTCTCCATGGAAACAATCAGAAAAACAACCTTAATGGACTATGTTCAATGTCTGAAAAGGGCATCTTTTCAACACTTTGTTTCCTGTGCCATTTCTTGCCATTAAATGGCTATGTGCTTACACAATGGATCCCCAACAGGCATTAAGTATGGAATAGGAGCTGTTCTGGCCTGGTCTGAGCCATTATCTTCTCGGTGCATGCTTGGCCTGAGCTTCAAGTGGCTTCTACTTAGAAGAAGTAATTTCAGTCAGAAAAGATTGCTATTTCGAAGTTGTTTGCCTCCTGAATCATCCATAGTTCACTATATGTGTGTGTTCGTGGGGGCCCAAGTTCTCTTTGGCCTCACAGCAACCTTTCTGTGCTTATTTCATTATGTTTTTGCAGCTATTGCGATCTTTAAATGTTATTAGCCCTAAGTCTAAACAACTTTCATTTGTCAGCCATATATCAGGCAAGTTGGAGCTACAACTTGCCTGTAGAAATAGCAGAAAATAGGAGATTTTCTGGCATGTCAACCCTCTTTTAGACTTCTCTGCACCATCACTAGCTAGGCCTCATGAGCTTGGGTATGGCTTGGTTGGTAGAGTACTTGTCTAGCACGCTTAAGGGCCTGAGTTCGAGTCGTAGCACCATATGAACTGGCTATGTTGGTACATGCTTCTCTGTACCAACACTTGCGGTATTAGGGTAGAAGGTTCAAAAATTCAGGGTCAACCTCAGTTACACCCTGCTTCCTCTCTTAGACCTCCATGCAGGGTATGCCAGCTCCTCACATTCTTCCTTCTGGCCCTCTATCTCTCTCCTCAGAACTCCACCACTGGTCAGACGGTCAGTGGTGTCAGAGACTACACAGAAATGGAAAATCTCCCCTCCAAAAAGTGACCTCTGATGGGTTCTTTCCTTCCTCCCTTGGTAATAAATTTGGTTATATGGGAAATAGCTGGCAGTTCCTTTTTAAAAACGTTTTCATTGCAAATCTACTTCACATATGGTTTCAGTATTTTTTTAAAAGTCAAATAAGCAGAAAGAGGTACCTCATACCTATAATCCCAGCACTTGAAAGAGACAGGAAGATCTGTGAGTCTGAGGCCATACATGGCTGCACAGTGACTTCTAGACTAGCTTGAGAGAGAGAGACAGACAGACAGACAGAGATACTGTGTCAAAAAATAAAAGTGAAAGAAAGGGAAGTCAAACAAGAGTGGTACCCAAAGAAATACTGAAACACATTTCTGAGCGGAATAATTTAGTCTAAAAGGACTTTATTCTGCTTCTACAATAGTGTGGGGTTCTATGGTGGACCCACTGCTGTTTACAGTTGAAGTCCTGATTTTATGGCCACTGAAGTTCTGTACTATATTAATTACTCCTCTGTTGCTGTGATAAAACACCATAACTAAAGGTAATTTGGGGGGTGTGTGTGTTATTTTGTCTTACAGCTTGTAGTCATTCATGGAAGGCAGGAACTCAGAGCAGGAACCCGGAGGCAGAAACTGAAGCAGAAGCCAGTGGAGGGGTGCTTCGTACTGGCTTGCTCCCTATGGCTTGCTTAGCCTGCCTTGGAGTGACACTACCACAAGGAGATAGACCTTCCCACATTCATTAATCAAGGCAATACCCCATAGAATTGTCCACAGGCCAACCTTATGGAGTCATTTTCTCAGCTGAGGTTTTGTCTTTCCAAATGACTCTAGCTTGTGTATGAAGTTGATAAAACAAACAGAAAACAAAACTAGTTACCACATATACAGATATATCTTGAAAGATTTCCTTTATCTTTAATTACGCAGTGGCAATAGGGTATGCGCAATTGAGTAAGGCGCCTCCCTGGAGGCCAGAGGTGGCCGACTTCCTTGCAACTGGAGCAATGGTGACTATGAGCCACTGAATGGGAACTAAACTCTGGTCCTCTGGACAACTATTACATGCTCTTAAGCAATGTGCCATCTCTCCAGCCCCTGTACAAGAATATTTTTACAGTGTCTCATGTGACTCAGGCTGGCCTCAAATTCATTATGTAGCCAACAATGACCTTGAATCTCTGACCCTTTTGCTGTGTCTCTAGAGTGCTGGGACTTCTGGGGTGATGGCCACGCCCCATTTATGTGATTCGGGCAGTCTCAGGAATTCTGTTCAGAACTGAGGCTATGAGCACATGCTACCTGACCTTTAATGAGAGTTCTGGGGGTCTAACTCGTGTCCTTGAATTTGCATGACCAACGCTTTACTGAGCCATCTCCTCAGCCCAGAAAATGTCATTTTTCTACAGGCATGAGGAGAAACCTCTTGCAATGTTATGAGTTGAATTGGTGCCCCTTAATATCCATATATTGATGCTCTATACCATCCTCTGACTCAGAACCTGACTGTTTTGGGAATTACAAATGGTACAGATGTAATTAGTTAAGAAGGAGTCTTTAGAGTTGAGTCATAGTCAGATGCAACTGATGTTATAAAAATGGGAAATCAGATATGGGCATGGTGGCTCACACTAGTAATCTTGGGCCCTGGGAGGTAGAGGCAGGAGGATCAGAAATTCAGGGTCACCGTAAGCTACACAATCAGTTTAAGGGCAACCTGAGCTATGTGAGAATGTTTCTCAACATAACAGAATTAAAAGTGGGGAGGGGTGGGATTTAGACTCATGGAAGAAAGACGATACATAAAGACATTCTCCTACAAGCCGAGCAGAAAAATCTCAGAAAGAATTAACCTAACGCTAACATTGGAAGTCATCAACCCTCAGCAATATAACTCACAGGCCTGTGGTTTTTCACACATCTGCAAAGATTCCAATTAGGAATAAAGAAATAAATAAAAGCTATACAAAAGTAAAAGTATAATAAAACAGTGGTCCACTCCCTTCCCTAGGGTGAGACTCTCCCATCTAGCTGCCAGAATCCTGGGGCAGGGGGAGGGCGGTGGTAGCTCCAACCTGTTGTGAGGGGAAGGAAGGGTAAGCCACTTCAGGTTGTTATCATGGAAACTACAGGAATGTGGGAGGAAGGAAAAGAAAAGGCACGGAAGCCCACTTTATCCAAGCTTTGAGATACTCCTGGGCTTGAGGGTTCCAAACCTTATCTTAGTATATGGTAGATGTTCAATAAATATTTAGAGGGCAAACTAATGAAGTTGGTACCTGAAGTTACAGGTGTTTTCCTGGGTGATAGAATTAGACCCTAGTTGTAAAATGCATGAAAATTGTTTATAAAAATCTTGTTTTAAGGCTTCATTAAAAACGTGTGTGTGTGTGTGTGTGTGTGTGTGTGTGTGTGTGTGTGTGTGTGTGTTAGGATGTATACACTTCTGTATGTGTATAGACTTGAATTTTTATGAGGTGTCGTCTATCATCACTCTTAAGCTTATTTACTGAGGCAGGTCTCTCACTGAGCCTGGAGTGTCTAGGTAGCCAGCTCTGCCTCCTGAGAGCTGACATTACAGGTGGCTTTCCTACTTACCTGGCCTTTTTTTTTAACCTTATTTAACTTTTCTCTAGCTTTAAAAAAAAAAAAGTATTTTTATTACATTTGTGTGTGTGTGATCGTGTGTGTGTGCGCAAGCACATGCACTCACAAACACACACCTGTGGAAACAGAGGACAACTTGTGTGTGTTATCTGTCCCCTCCCTCCACCATGTAGGTCCTGTGTATCAAACTCATGTCATCAGACTTGGTAGCAAGTGTCTTGACCCGCAAAGCCATCTTGCCATCTCATGACCCTGCTTTCGTACGTGGATTCTGGGACCCAAACTGCAGCCTTCGTGCGTACATAGTAAGCGATTTATCTCTCAGCCATTTCCTAGCCCTTTGGTTTTGTTAAGGCAAGGTCTTTCACTGGCCTTGAATTGACCAAGTAGGTTAGGCTGACTGGCCAGTGGTCCTCAAGGATCTTCTGTTTCTGCCTCCCTAGTACTAGGATTACATGTGTATAATTACACTATGTCACCCTTGGCTTTTATTTTTTTAACATGGGTTCTGAGGATTGAACACGTTGCTGATCATTCACGAACAGGTGTGTGCGCACACACTAGCACACACACATACCACATAGATTAGAAGCCAGCCATAGTGGTACAAGCCTGTCATTTCAGAGCTCAGAAGGCTTAGGCAGGAAGATCAAGAGTTTGAAGCAAGTCTGGGTCAGCTTTCTCAGCTGCACTTAGGTTGCACATGCTGAGACCCTCTATCAGTGTTTCTTCGTTTGTTGGAAATCTGTTGTCATAATTAGGCACAGTAGCACACACCTGCAATCCTAGTGCTCCAGAAGCAGAGGCAAGAGGATCAGAAGTTCAATGCTCTCCTTGGCTATATATATAGCAAATGTAAGACCAGTCTAAAGTATGTAAGATCCTGTCTCAAAAAAAAAAAAAAAAAAAAAACCATCTTAGACAGATAGTATAAAGCCCCAAACTGAACCATGCAGCCACTGGCATTGCTAGAGACCCTGGCAGACAAATCTCCCTTCTTCCATTAACTCCTTTTCCTCCTTTCATTTTGCCTATCGGCATTGGCTATGTTGGTGTCAGTGTCTGAACTTGGCTGCTTCATTCATTTGAATTGTTCCTTGATCTCCAGATGGCCTTGTCAGTCCCTCAGGAAGGTCTTGTGTGGGTTTGTTTTTGTGTTTTCAGGACTTGAAGAGTCCTGGGTTATTACCAATGTTCATAATTCGTGATTCAGGCAAATATGGGAAGAATCAATGCTTATTTCAAGTACACCCATGTCCTTTGACTCTGCAATATTCCTTCCAGAATACATCCTGCAGACACATCAAACTAAATACCTGGTACAATATGCATGAGCTGGCTTCTCTGGTTCTTCTGGAACCCCAGGGATAGGAATGAAGACTGCTCCATTGTTCATGGAAGGGCATCTTTTCATTAACTCCCCATGTCCTCACACTGTGGAGGATTTTGCCATAATAAAAAGAAAATGAGCAAATTCTAAACCTATCTTGGGACAATGCTCAAGATGAATTGTTGCATGAAAAAAGACAGGTAAAAAAGTAATATAGTCTGCTGTTTTGCATATTGTATATGAGAATATAATTGTGCGAAATAGGATATGTCTAACAACGTATGCATAATAGATTATACATAATGACCTGTGTGTAATTATGCATAACAGTCTGTGCATAATGTGTGTGAATAATTTTTGCATAAATGCATATGTAAAATTTATCTCAGGGGCAATACACATAAATTGGAGATATGGAAATCACCATGGGAGGGGAGATACGAAATTCCAAAGCTCAGGGGAAAAAAAAAATTCCTTCTCTCTGTTCAGCACTCTTGTGCATCCTTGAAAGTTCATAAATGAGAATCAAGTAACTAATAACAATTAACAATGTCAGAACTCAGTTTCAGAGGTCACCACAACCAGTGATAAAACCTTTAAGGTCTTAATTCACAGAGGAAACCCATAAAGAAAAGTTAGAAGGTGAACATCAAGGACCAGCCACAAAATAAAAATTTAAAATAACAGTTACAAGCCAGGTGGTAGCACATGCCTTTAATCCCAGCACTCAGGAGGCAGAGACAAGCAGACCTCTGTGGGTTCAAGGCCAGCTTGATCTACAAGCAAGTTTCAGGACAGCTAGAGCTATACAGAGAAACCTCGTCTCAAAACAAGCAAGCAAACAAACAAACAAACAATAAAAAGATAATAAATAAAATACTACTTCCATTAATGTCTGCAAATATGCAACACTTGAAGGAGGGAGTTACCTCATCGGGTAAAGCTGATGACCTCAGTTTGATCTCCACGACCCACATAAAGAGAGGAGAGGTTGTTCTCTTACCTGTGCATATGCACCACAGCTCATGCCCATACACACACACACACACACACGCAGACATAAATAAAGTAAAAGTTAAAAACATCTCTAATACAAGACACAAAAGATGTTTACTGAAAAAAATGAACAAGGAGCTGGATGAGATGGCACACACCTGCAATCCTAGCACTTGGAAGGAAGAGGCAGGCAGATCTTTGTGATACTGGTCTATGGAGTGAGTTCCAGGACAGTCAGGGCTACACAGGGAAACCCTGTCTTGAAGGAAAAAAATAAAGAAAAGAAAAGAAGAGAAAAGAAAAGAAAAAAGAAAGAAATGAAGGAAAGAAGGAAGAAATGGAACACTCAGAAGATGCAGGCAGTGAGATGGCTCATCAGGTAGAGATGCCTGCATCCTGCCAAGCTTGAAGACCTGTGCTCCATCCCTTGAACTCACATACTGGAAGGAGAAAGTCAACTCCTCAAGTTGACCTCTTACCTCTATACCTGTACTGTGGTGGTGCGTGAACACATATGCAGGCACGTGTGCGCACACACAAAGACAAGCACAAACACACCGAATTCAATTTAAAAACTTAATTGAATTTTCTGAAAAAGAAATACGACCTTCAGCCCCAGCATATTCTGATGAGAACATAGTCAACAACACAGCTGCTCAAAACCTCGTGGGCTACTGCCCATCACCCTTTCTCCTGGGGTACAGGCTGGGCATGCATTTTACTTTACAATTATTGCTGTTTCAGATGACATTCCCGTCAAGGCTTTGACATTTAAATGACAAATGTCGAGTCTCAAAACCCAGCACAGAAAAGACATCTCTACTGAATTGGTAAAAGCAATTTTCATTTGCCAGTTTGCAGCCTGAGCCCTGTCTTTGCACAGCCACGTAATTCCCATAATTTGGGAGATGACTCACTATACCTGAGTCGTGACACTGAAGGAGGCATGATTCTCCTGAGGGACCCTAAAACTTGGTCTGCCTCACTCTTTGAAACAAAGCATCTTCCAGCAGGCAATTACTTGCCTTGTGTTTTCATTCTCTTGCAAGTCACAGGATTGACCTTTTCTACCAAGAGGATAACTCACTTTTCAAAAAGCTTCCATAACATTTCAAGTTACAAGCTGCAGAATGCAGGGCTGGGAAGATGGCGCAGTGTAAAGAGCGTGCTGCCAAACCTGACCTCCTGAGTTCAATGCCACAGCTGTCCTCCAACCTCAAAGAGCCTGCCATGTCATGCTCCTGCTCCCACTCGCTCTCTTTCTCTCCCTATTTCTCTCAATTGTAAATATAAAATTTAACATACACGAGAGACAATGAGGATGTCACTCAGTTTGTGGAGGACTTGCCAAGCCCCAAGTTTGATCCCTAGTGCTGCATAAATCGGGCATAGCAGTGTATATCTGTAAGCCTGGACCTCTGGAAGAGGGGTCAAAAGTGTCAAGTTCAAGGTCTTCCTCTACTATGGTGTGAGTTTGAGGTCCTGGGCTACATGAGGCCATGTCTTTTTTTTTTTTTTTTAAAGACAAGATTTCTCTGCGTAGCCTTGGCTGTCCTGGAACCTGATCATAAAGATCCACCTGCCTAGGCCTTCCCAGTGATTGAAGTGGTCTTGTCTTGAAAATAAAAATTCAAGCTTGGTGTGGTGGCACACCTTTTTAATCCCAGCATTCAGGGAGGCAGAGGCAGGCAGATCTCTGTGAATTCTAGGCCAGCCTGGCCTACAAAGCAAGTCCAAGACAGCTAAGGCTACACAGAGAATCCTGTGTAGAATCCTGCCTCGAGAAACAAAACAAAACAAAACAAAAAAGTTAAATAAATTTAAAAATAACAAGAAAAAGAAGAAAATAAATTGTCACAGAAGGACACAAAATTCTCAGGGAATACTGCATATCACCACAAGGGGGGGTCTCACTGGGTGAATATCTACACCACCCAGTTGAAGACTAGCCCAGTTAGCAGCCACAGGTAGAGTGGACATCCAAGCCCACCCACTAACACAAATATTTGTGTTTAAAGAGAACATGGGGGGGGGTGTTCCAAAGAAGTGAAACCAATATTCAGAAGAGATAGCTGCCCATCCATATTCATCAAAAGCATTATTTCCAACAGCCAAGATGTATATCAGAGACAGAAGCCATCTCCAAACACACCAGACTGGCCTGTCAGCTGTTTTAGGCTGAAACTGCCCACAGTTGGACAGGGGAAAGGCCACTGAGCCTGCCTCTCCCTGGAGCAGCAGCAGACCATGAAGATCCTTTGGGGGAGGGTCCTTCCAACACCACAGCTGGAATAGAGCCTCGATCACCACAGGCCAGTGACTGGGCTGCCCTGAACCTGTATAAACACCACGAAGCAGCCCTTATCTCCCCCAGCCTGACGCCCAGTATATCTCCTAGTGACAGCCTGGAGTTTACTCCCCCAGTCAGAGACCCATCTGTCTTGTCACTCCTTCTCAAAAATATTATTCTTTGTCTGAAAAATATAAAGGCCTACTTTGGCCTTCGCCCTCTTGTACATGTAAAATTGATGAAATTTGTATGGCTTCCTCCTGCTCCCCGTTGAGCCAGCACTACCTCGGAGGAACTAAGCAAGAAGAATTTGTTGCACTCATTTATTTATTTTTAATTTTATTTGCTTATTTAGTGGGATGTGCACTTGACACAGCATGCATATGGAAGCCATCGGATAGCTTTGGGGAGCTGATCCTCTTCTCTTATCATGTGGGACCCGAGGATCCCAGTAAGGCCATCTGTCCTGGCAGCACTCATCTTTACACACTGAGCCATCTCACCAGCCGCTAGAAGGGTTCTTCACTTCTTTCTTGTGCAGTCTGTCTGGTTTCCTCAGAAACTATGAACACCAGTAGTCACACACACACACACACACACACACACACACACACACACAGTACATGAAATAAATGTAATTTAATTACATTGCTTCTAGTTTTTCCCACCATCTCCAGTTTCCAAAGTCT